AGAGGATCGGCGAAAAGCGTCGTGATCAGGAGTGGCGAGATTGGGTCCGCAAGCACAGTGCTGCCGGTGGTGGCGCGCTTTTCTCACTCTCCAAGCCTGTGGTTCCCTGGCACTCCAGCCCGTCCTTTGACGAGGAGGGGGCGCCTCGTAGCGCGCCCGCCTCTCAGGAGCAGGAGATGCGCCTGTTAGCGGAGGAGTGGAGTCGGTACTGGTGTGTGGGGGAGTTGGAGGATTCTCTGTGCTGGCCCCAGGACATGGGGCCGCCGCTGCCAGACTTCTCTCTAGCTGACCTTCGCGCTTGCTTGCGCTCTTTCAAGCCAGCCAGCGGAGCCGGCTTCGATCAGATCAGTCCTCGCCAGCTCGATGAGCTCAGCGACGCAGGCCTCGAGTGCTTTAGACAGCTGTTGCTAGCCATCGAAGGTTCATTCACTTGGCCACGCATGTGGACCAAGATAGTTTTTCTCATGAAGCGCGCAGGCGGGCTTCGGCCAATTGCGCTGCTGCACATCTGTGCGCGCGTCCAGGGGCGCCTGCGGCGTCCCCTTCTCCAGCAGTGGCAGCAAGAGAACTTTCGGGATTTCTGGTGGTCGACGTCGGGGAGGGGGTCGGAGCGCCTCGTGTGGATCCAGGCTGCCACTGCGGAGTGGGCCGTCGGGCGCAATCTCACGGCGGGCACAGTGTTGCTCGACCTCCGCAAGGCGTTCGAGAATATCCGACACGGCGTGCTGCTGGAGGCGGCACGTCGCTCCAACTTTCCACTGAGACAGCTGCGGCTGCTGATTGCACTCTACAGAGCACCTAGGGTGCTAGAGTATGCAGGGATGAACTCCGCACCGATCTGTACGCAGCAAGCCGTCTTGGCTGGCTGTCAGTTCGCCACTCTGTGCCTGCAGATGGTCGTCTTGGCTCCGCTCGATGCCGTCCAGGCGGCGTTCCCCCGCCAGACTGCAGAAGAAGTGCAGCTTGGAGTGGTGGTAGACGACTTTGCGCTGCACAAGGTTGGTTCGGAGGATCGAGTCCACCAGTGTCTTGATCGAGCCACCACCATGCTTCACCACGAGCTGCAGGCCGCGCATCTTCCCGTGAGCCGCCCCAAGAGTCGGCTGCTCGCTTCACACGTTCGGCTGCGGAGGCGGCTCGCCTCCGTCCTTCGCCCTCTGCAGGTTCTCCCAGTACAGAGCGAGCGCAATCTAGGCGTTGATTATGCTGCAGGTGGTGTAATTCGTCGAGTCACCAAGCGTGGCCGCCGCACGGCAGCGGTGGCACGACAGAGAAAGATAACATCGCTGGCGGGACAGCTCCGAAGGCGAGCTCTCCACAACATGGTCCGTGCGGCCGTCCAGGCCTCCACCTCCTATGGGTCGGGGGTGATGGGGACGACCGACACCGAGCTGCGCGAGGCGCGATTCCTGCAGGCCAGCGTTCAGTCACAGAAGCTGGATGGACGCTCTGTTACGCTTCTTTTGCACATGGCTGGCGTCAAAAAAGTCGATCCTGCCTACAAGTTGTGTGCTGCTCCCCTCCTGCACCTCGCTGCTGCTGTGTGGGAGTCCTGGGTGCCCATCCCGCTCATCCTCGCTGGCCTCGACGGAGCTCACCAGGCCCTTGGACACCTCTGTGCCCTGGAGGTCCATCCGAGGGCCTTTCACTAGTTGTGTTGCCTCCGCCCGTCGTCTCGGCATTACGTTCGACGGCTTAGTTCTCTCGCACGAGTGCGTTGGCCGCTTCTCGCTCCTTGAGCTCTGCCCCAGGGCCGTCGCGCGGCATCTTGAGCGCATTGTGCAGAGCTGGTGTTGGAAGCGAGTTGCCGAGCATCTCAATATGCCAGAGTTCGGCAGAGGCCCCATGCTCGCCCCTGTGCTTTCTGGCATGCAACGGCTTGAGGCCCACGAGAGGGGTTATGTCGTTTCCGTCGTTGCCGGTGGTCAGTGGCCTCAAGCCAAGCAAGCCGAGCATCGCTTGTCTGCCATCTCCCAGTGTCAGTTGTGCTCTAATTCTCCAGGGACCCTGGCCCACAGGCATTTGGCCTGCCCTGGACACGCCGAAGTCTTTCAGATGGAGACTCCAGCCGTGGCCACCTCCTTGGTTCAGAACCTCGGGCACCCCCTTGTCCGTCTTCTCGCTGAGAGGCTGCTGCTGCCGCTGCCTGCCCCTCCGCCTGCTCGCCCTGTTCCTCCCGACGAGCCTTGGCTCAAGGGGCACCCTGGTCTGCTGGACGGAGACCTCTTTTTGGACGGCAGCCTCCTGGACGGACACCTGCCACCAGAGGCACATAGTCTAGGATGGGCCGTGGTCGCCCTGCACGACGATAGGCCTGTCTCTGTCGCCGTCCTGGCTGGTGGCTTGCCTCCTGGTCTCTACGATACCGACGCCGTAGAGCTCTGGGCGTTCCTCCGAGCTCTGCGGCTTGCTCTTCCAAGTGCCACGTTTTGGACCGACTCGCAGTTCGTCCATGATGGAGTCTTCAGGCGTGGCAAGCTATACTGTCTTTCGGCCAGAG